TTATATCACACCTTCATAATGGCAGAGTTATTTTTCTACGTTTACATTTATACATAAAAAAGGAAAGTAACACAAAAAGATAAATTACATAGAGTGCAGTTAAAAATGTAATACTCAAGATTGATTGTAAAAGCACTGGGAGCAGGTTTAAAGTACAACTTTGGTGCAGTGTTTTCATGATGATAGATTTGACCTCGATGAAGTAATTATAGGAAACTGTTTGTGAAGGAGTCTTTGGTTGGACCTCAGAGTTTGGAGTTGATGACGGGGGTTGGACGGAACTGTCGGAGTATGTTTTAACCTCTTTATCCTGACGCATACTCTATAATCCAGGTAGAAAAACCTCGTTGTTTTTTGTTTTTGACTAGTGGACATGAATATTTTGTCATTCAAATAAAGATTTGTTCAAAGAAAACTGTCGAGGGCGAGCTGGAAGGAACATTTACCGACTTTGAGTAGTAGCTCAACTTTTTTTATTGGACGCGCTGACACACACCCAGGACAAACTACTGAAAGACAAACGGAAGGACAACAAGGGTTTAGATGAAATACATTTTAGATGAACAATCCATGCACACGCACCAGCGAGGTGCTCGGTTCACGCTGATCTGGTCCTTCAACGCACGTCACAAACAGACCAGCTTATCATCCAGAGTCTGACTGTCATACGCCCGCTGGAAGGAGGACGTTTCATGGTGTTCTCTCCGTATACTTTCTTTTGTCCCGTCCATAACATCTGGTCTGCTCAGCTCCATAACATCTGGTCTGCTCAGCTCCATAACATCTGGTCTGCTCAGTCCCACAGTAAAGGTCACAAATCAAGGCCATATTTAAAACAAGGTCTTAGTTTTCATAGTTCCTGACCTGCTCAAGATAATTTGATGAACCTTCATACACTTTTGTATCGCCACTAGTCAGCATGTCATAATCTTTTCATCACCCTGGCTCAGAGGTCAAGGTCACAAAGCAAGGTCAAATGTTATACGAGGTCTTTGCTGGCCTGAACCTTTGCTTTAGATTGCTGTGTTGCTGTATTGCTGTATAACAGTGTTTCAACAGGTGTATAATTTGCTGTACACAGTACTATAGTTGTTCTTCTAGTAAAAAACAACAAAGGAGCTCTCTGGGCTTAATTTCCATGAGCAACAAACAAACTTCCTCTTTGTCTGGTCCTGCAGGTGTTCTTCAGAGCAGGAACTTTGCCCAAGCTGGAGGAGCAGCGAGATGTTCAGACCAGGAGGAATATCTCACTGTTCCAGGCAGCCTGCAGAGGACATCTGGCCAGACAAGCCTTCAAGAAGAGAAAGGTACACCTACTGCACACAGAAACATATTTACTTTGACTGGTTTACATACGTGTTTCTACAGGTAAATTGTTGTTTTTCTTAAATACCAGATGTAATTCAGATGTTTTTCTTTTATTGATTGGTCATCAGTTAATATGATGCTAACACCCCACACACCAGCACCTTCTCTTATCAAACCAGTGAAACGTACACAACAGACGAAGCTACAAGTGTAGTAGTCAATAAATTACAAAGTAACTGTCACAACAGAGCAAGTAAATGAGGAAGTATCATGAAGATTAGAGCATGTATCTTAAATAAAATGTGTCCTCTGTGCTTCTGAGTACTTCAACATTTGTTGCTCTTCTACACATCGTTAGACGGTGTAATGTCTCAATGATGCGTTCAAGTACAACTTGTAAAGTAAAAACACTGAGCTCTTAGCTGTTTGATTATAAACAGAAAGTTCAAGATTAAATATCCCTTTAAGGTTTACTTTGACAATGTTCAGTAATGCTCGTATAGTTTTTTACAACATGATAATTCTCGACTAAAACACGCCCGTCTCTCCCGATAGCTCGTCAGATCAAGTACCGTGATCCGCTCGTTGACCATGGAAATGTGTTTAACGGCAGCTCACCCCCTAATTTGACAACCTGCTCTTGGTATCTGGTCTGGTGAACGATGGTGTTCAGACACAACACACCAGGGTGTTGTTTCAACACCTCGTTCAGATAAGAAACCCTTAAAAACCTCCTACAATAGTCTCAGAACAAGCACTGTTGTGTCTGTTGTCTCGTGATGATTGTTAAAAATTCATCAGGTGGAGAACGATGAAAAGTCCAACACTTCAAGTATTTCTCGTGCTCTTGCTTCTTTAATCAGTGATGTTGCTTCAGGGTGCAGCTCATGTGTCAAAATGCAGCAGCAAAGCAGCTACATCCAACTTTAAACTATAAAGATGAGGGAACTAAAGAGGAACTAAAACATGACATAAACCTTCCAGGCACTCCTTTGAACCACAGCTGCTGCAGTTTAAATCTTTAAATGTGACTGTTTGTCCTACCTTTACATCACACAAGTCCATGCAGGACTGTCTTTAGTGGAAAAATGGTAGAATGTGTCCCTCGATTGTCGTTGTCCAAATTAAAACTGGGCCTTGGGCTGTCCGGGTTGAGACCTCTGGCCCAGCAGGTCTGGTCAACGTTCTTCAACTTCAAGTAGGTTTATTGTCATTTCATCACATGTGGTACATGAGGTGGAACAAAATTATGCGCTCAGGGTCCCAGTTACACCCAACAACAACATAAATATAAATTGTAATAAGAAACAATCTTAGGATCTAAGATATAAAGCAAGATAAACGTTAAGAGATCTAAGTTATTCACTAAACACTAATAATGTAAAACAATACGGTGACACGAGTCTGTGTGAGCAGATGGTATGAATGAATACAACAGCATGAGCTGATCAGCAGCATGAGCTGATCAGCAGCATGAGATGATCAGCAGCATGAGATTATCATCAGCATGAGATGATCATCAACATGAGATGATCAGCAGCATGAGATACTCTGCTCCTTCAGATCTTGGTCAAGTTCTTCTTGCTATAAAGACAGCATAAATAACTCAGTCTACGCTCTCCAGAGTCCACCATAATCTCAGCAGTTTTTCCTGCTGACGTCCTTTTCCTCTAACTTCTCCTGTTCTGATTGGTCGATGCGTATCAGACACCCCCCCCCCACACACACCTTCGCTACTGAGCAAAAGTTTCTGTAGC